AATTAACTTGTCAATAAAGAAATTCGTTAAGGATTGATATATAAAGCAAACATGTTGCTCCTGCAGTCTATTATGGACTATTGAAGCTTAAAATTGAAAAAGAAGTGAAGATCGAAACACAATAATTGAGGAATCATCTAAAATAGTTGCACACCAAATCTGAGGTATCCAAAATGACGTGTTTCGATTCGGACTCCCCAAATTCAAAAGCGACATTGTTGGCTCTCCCCTCTCAAATCATCTCCCTAATCTGTAAGCTCATCCTCACTCTGTGTGTGTGTGTGTGTGTGTGTGTGTATGTGTGTGTGTGTGTGCGTGTACGTGTGCGTGTGCGTGTGTGTGTGTAAAATTCCACTTCGGTTGGTAAACAAAATCGAGGTGACAAGTGGCATATTTTTGAAATGAAAACTTAATTTGAAGTTGTTGAGATTCGAAGTATGTACTCTAAGTTAGCTTATCCTTCAGTTTTCTCACAAATTCGATGGGTACTAATTCAAAGCGAAAACTGAAGTTGTCAGGATTACTTGAATTAGTTTACCCTTCAGTTTTCTCCCAAAACTGACGGATTAGTTTGTTCATTTTAAAAGGTAAATAAAACATGGCTCATTAAGGTGTTATACCTCGGTGTTTTGTTACGTGAGGTGAAAATATTGTCATAAAATATATTATTTGTAGTAATGAACAACAACAATATTACCGGTACAGTCATGGAGAAAGTTTTATATACTAGAAGCGTGATGAAAGAGTCAAAGAAATGTGTTAGTTTGTGGTTCGAGTCTCCTTATTAGACATTCATTCCTCCTTTGTTTACTTCATTCCACTTGGAGAATATGAAGAATGGTGTTTCATTGGTTAGGTGAAGAAGATAAAGAATGATATTAAGTTCGTTTGCTAGAGCACAAATTTTTTATAAGAAATACAAAAATGAATGAGAGTTAACATTTTAATATTGGAAAAAATATTGTTTGGAGTTCATATCTCGGTTGGTAGCAAACACTGAGGTTAAAACTGATTTCTATTGCAATTAAAAAATAAAATAAAATAAAGGCATCAATTTGGTTCTAAATAAAACATGAAACCACGAGAGCTAGGAATCAAAGCTCAAACCTTGAGCTTCATTTTCTTTCAGTTGAACCAAAATCTTAAGGAATATATGATTTATATTGTAATAAAAAAATTAAATAAAATAAAGGCACCATTTGGTTCTAATTAAAACACAAAATTGTATGAGTTGACAATCGAACCTCAAACCTTGAGCGATATTTCCTATTGGTTGAACCAAAAAAGTTAAGGAATAAACTTAATCAAGGTTGTGAGAATTGAGTTTTTACCTTGAATCGTTTTGTCTAGGTAAAATCAACACGTAAAATCGTAGAGTTAACTTCATATTAAAATAATATTAAATTCATATTAAAATCGCAGGGTGGACCTTTCTTTTTTGCTGAGTGGTGTGTATCTCCAATGTTGTGTGCACAGTTCAGAACCTTCGCTAGCCCCGCAAGATGATGTTTGAATGTTTAAATTCCCCCACTAATGATTTTTTTGTAATAACGACATTTTACTTTTTAGCATCGGCGAAAGCATTTGTCCCATAATTCCACCCTAGATTAGGGTTCAAAACCTTTTACCTTTCATTACTCTAGTATGTTCTTTCTCTCTGAAATACTTGTGGGGGGAAGTCGTTTAATGTGAATTAAATAAAAAGAGTGGGAGAAGTTTTCATGGGTCAAAATATAAAACAAGATTTTTAAAATTTGACAAAGAGATAAAATCGGGTAAAAGAGTGAAATCCAACAATTTTATATGATTTACGAGTTTTAGAGCGATTTAAATCATTTAGAATCTTCCCAGAATGTGATTTACATAAAAAGATTTTTATCTGTGATTTAACACAAAATGCTAACCTAGAAATGTTAAATCTACAGAGTTTAGGTTTTAAATCGCGATTTTAGAAACCTTGAATTTAATTTTAAAAAATATTAAAAGGACGTGCTCCAAGTCATTTGACTTTCATTTTTAATTGGCTGAAGTGTAAATTTGTCATGCAATGTATATTTGTAGTAGTGAATCTACCTCATATTTTATAAAAGGAATTGACATTTTTGAAACTTCTTGAGTCGAACAATGTGAATACCATAAACCTTGCAAGTTTTATTCTGTCCAATAGGCAACGCACAGGAAAAAAATTAAAAAAAAAAATTTTGCCCTAAAATTAGACTTAGGCGCCATCTCACTTGGCTTAGGGCATGCCCTAAGCACTTAGGCGTCAAGTGAGATGGCGCCTCCCTTAAAAAAGGAGGTGCATGCGCCAATTGAGATGGCTCCTCCTTTGTAGAGCCATCTGAAACATGGTTATTTGCGTAATTTTTTCCGAAACCCGGTTATTTGCGAAATATTATTTTAATACATGGTTATTAATAAAAAAAATTCTCAACATGCATGATTTACTCTCTCTTAGATCTAATGGTTATGTGGAATGCTTCCATAAAGAATATTAGGACATTGTTGGGGGAGATGGGTTTAACTTGATGCATCAGTTTTTTAATCAAGGTTGGATCATGTTTAATATTTATTCTAAGTTAATTGTTCTCTTTCCTAAAGTCACATATGCTGATAGATTTAGTGATTTTAGGTTTATTGCATTAGCTAACACTAAAAAAAAAGTCATCCGCCACAGCCAGAAAACCGTGGCTATATGTAAAATAATCGTGGTTGTAAACTTTGACTACAGTTTGGTCATAAATAAGTGATTGTGAGATATACAGCCATGACCTAAATTATACGTCACGGTTTTCATATTTGGACCATGTTTTATATATATATGTGACTTGAATACGTCACGGTTTATGTATCTAGGTTAAGGCCGCAGTTTATCTTACTCCTCAGTTATTAACAGTGATCGAATTTAGCCACGATTTTTATTTAATATATAGTCTACAGTTTAGTTGCCTAGGTTTAGCCACAATTTATTTATGGCCACTAATTAAAATTGTGGCTAAATTTTCCTCACGATTTTACACCACTTAAGTAGGCCATAGGTTCTATTTATGCCACATAGTTATGACAATGGTGTTCTTCATGTCATGGCATAAAGAACCATTTTAGATAAATATAAAATATCTTCCAACAAGAATACTCATTTTTGTAGATATTGAATAAATAAAATTAAAATCTAATTATACATGAAAACATTAAGCCACAACGTCAAAATATTCATTAAAAAATAAGTAAGTCTACATCAAGTGACGCTACTGACTAATAAGTCGCAAAAATATAGATAAGTTTGGATAGATAATACAAAAGTTTTGAGAGAGAGACATCCCAAATTCAAAACAAAAGTTCTAAGAGATAGATAATACAAAACACAACTTCTATTGATTGAACTCATGCATCATAATATTCTTCTTCTTGATCATCTCTTCCTTCTTGTTCGTCTTCCATATCTTGATGACAAACTTCTTTATCTCCATTCTGCAAGGAACACGATACATAAATTAATATAAGCAAATCATCATAGACAAACAACAAAGTCTTTGATAAATATATTCACCACAACTTACCGTAAAGAAAAGAACAAAAATTAATGTGTTTTAGGAATTTTAATGCATTTCGAAATCATATATCATTTGTAAGAATGTGGTTCATTTTGAAATCATATATCATTTTTAAGAATATGATTCATTTGTTGGCATAAAATGATCTTTAATTAAAGTGATTTATAAGGTAATTATACAGTAGAAAATTATATAATAATTAGGAACAAAACACAAAAGATACAATCATTCAAAGTCAAACAAATTTACATAAGCTAATAAATGTCATTGTTGCTAATTTTCCTCCAAGATGTTTAGCAGTATCAAGCACATGAAGAAACTTCAGTAATTGCTCATGCTCTTTATTTTTCAAGATTCTCAAAAACTCTTAGTTTACAATATCCTAGCCAAACATAATAACAAATGCGTTAAGCATTCAAGGATTAGATAGATTTGTGTCACTAACCTACTTATATTTTATTTATAATTATTTATATTATACAAGCTAAGACAAGAAATCAACTAGAGGAATGTAACTCACATTTAAATCTATTAAGGACTGTAGAAAATCATGTTTTCCAACGATTTATGCTCTTTTAAGCTGAGAATTGTCACTACCTACTTCCAATATCCATGTGGATTGACACTAAAAAGATACATCATCTTCATCGAGAAACATTAAAATTAGTATGTTTTTTTAATTGAGTTGTCAATCAAGTTAATCATAAACCATGTCACACTATTTTAGAAGCTTAAGCTAATGAGATCAAAAATATCCTTTGACGCCCTTATAAAAGAATGTTAAATGACGCAATCAAGGAAAACATGTGGGTCTATTAATTTTAAAGTTCAGTCACAATATCCAATAACAAGGTAATGCTAATGGTTAGTCATAAAAGTTTCAAATGAAAAACATGAGAAGCAAGTCACCATTGTTAATCCTAAAGCTAGTTTTTCTTTTACCACAAAGACAATTTAGAAAATGTCACCTAGTATATTTCAAGACCAATCCCGATATCATGAAATAAAGTGAATATTTAAAAACAAAGTAGCATTTTTGTAAAATATAAGTAAAAAGGCCAACACCAAATGATAACAGAAAACATGGTCTTTGTTGGTACCTCTTTGATACACTGGCATACATTTTTAAAAAAGAATATAAATAGCATACAAGTAGAGTATTATCTCAAAACACGCATATATTTAAACAATGTTTCACAGTATGAAACTAAAGTCAAAAGAAACCAGAAAAACAAGATCTCATACACACTTATCATGCCCTATGTATGTTGTAGTAACATGTGCAGAATAGAGTTGCATTAACAAGAAATATCTAAAATAAATATCAATAGTCAACAACATGAAAATAATATACACAACAATGTGGTTAAGTAGTCAAAATACTAGATGAATACATTACCTTAGTCTTCTAGATGCATCAACTTCTTCAACATCATTTTCATTGAAATGATTTTAATTAGATCCTTTTTGAACACAATCACTATGTTTGCTAGTAATAATAATATTCCCCTCTTTGATCACCAACCTCCACTTCAACCTCTTGAAAGATCAGTTCCATTCAATCTTTTCTTCACTTTAAACTTATACCTTTCATTGTCCTTTCATATCTTCATCTCCATGACCAATAAAATTCAAAAAAAAAAATTGAGACAAACAAGGAAAAATTAAAATGAGAACAAGGTTGAAAATTACAGATAAATTAATTTATAAACAAAATATTATGAAAATAATAGAAGAGATAACCTAGCAAAATAAAACAAAGACGGAAAATATTTCGAAAAAGAGAAAATGAAAACAAAAGAGTGGAAAACGAAAACAAGATAGGTGGGAAAGCTCTATATTTTCTTTAATAAATAATTTTTGTCAAGTCTTTGATTTTTTACAATATCAAAACTTTGTTTAATTAGTATGTAATAAGTAATATAATTTGTACTAGAAGATAAATACTTTCAAAATTTAAAGCAAATAGACTAATAATCATTTAAATTTGTAATTTTAGTAATAATTAATTTATTTTATTTTACTTTTTAAAAATGTTTTTAACATTATTTTTAATTAAAATTTAAGCTACTATGTTATTAAAAAAATTAAATTAAATTAATTTTATTTTATATAAAATAATATATTAGAGAGGGAATATTTCCCTCACAAAAATATGTAACACGTTTATGGGGGAATTTGTTACAGAAATATTGCGGAAGAATAGTATCCATCTCAAATTCTTTGACTAAATTTACTTTTATCAATTTTGTAAGGGATTTTTTGTGATTTCTTCACTAATTTTTATTCTTTTATCATTTATCATTTATTCTATTTCCCCTCACTAAATCCATCGTAATTAGTGAGGGATTTAATTCCCTCACAAATTTTTGTCCCTAATTTACATTTTTTAGTAGTGAAACTCAAACAAAAATAAAAATCTAACCTTTCAAACAACAAGAGAAAAAGAATGAAACTTGAAGAATGTAGCTTTGACGGGGATGGTGAATCATGAGGTTGAGTGGTAGATATTGAGTGAGTGAGTTCAAAAACATGGTCATGGTGGTGGGACTGTGAATGAGGGTGGGATTAGAAAGTAGGAAGGTTAAGGATACTGATTTGATTAAGAGGAAGCGGCGCACTTAGGGTTGGGGTTTCTAATACAGTTAAGAGGGAAAGGCGTTGGAATGAAAGTGAAGCGGCGCAATCGGTTTTTGTCACCCCTATAGATGCATCATTGTTTTTATTTGTATTTAACTTTTCAATTTTTTTTCTTTTTTTAATTAATCTAAAAAAATTAGAAAAGAAAATAATTAACTAGAGGAAAACTAAAAAAAAGAGGACAATTCTGACGGGGTATATTTTTTTGGGCTTGGGCCACAGTTTGAAGTAAAAATTATAATGTCGCGGTTTTTCTTTGTAGCTTAAAATATCTATTATTTATTAACTGTGGCTTAAATATAAGTGTGATTTTGTAATTGTGGCAATTGAAGTAAAGACCACAGTTTCACACTTTGGATTCAATATTTCAAAACATATGTCTACGATTTGAAAACCCTAGCCAAAGCTTGTATGTGGCCACAATTTTTGAGTTGTGGAAAAATTTAACGTGGCCGTAGACCCAAAATGTTGTAGTGTAACTTTTAACTTAGGATCGTAATTAAAATGGTCTTTGATAGGCTTTCCATTATTGTTCCTAAGCTTATTCGTGAATGTTAGGGAGTTCGGGGAATGCCAAGAGTCACTATAAGGAAATTGACACATACCTTTCGAGGTTTCTAGTGACACCTAAAATAATCATAGGTATAGATCTGTTATGAAAAACGATACCTCGAAACAAAGTATTCTGGACTGGGCCTACACTTGACACAAACATCATATGAGGTCCAATCCAACTATGTTGTAGGAGAAACCAGCAGGAGAGAGTCTGCCCTTAAAATTATCAGGCAGTGATTCAACTCGTCTTGTTGACTAGGATATGTCCTCCGGGGACAACCTCATGACTAGCGAGGAGGACCAACGACACTCACGAGGTCATCGCGGACACCCTCTTCGTAGGGCAGACACCCAACGCCCCCGAATATCACGAAGTCCTCTTAACCCTGAAAGGACCGCATCCACATCCTCCTGATAATTCAGAGGAGTCCATTCAGGTTAGGGACCATGTGTTGGCCTCCACTACACACATAGGATCTGACAGTCTCTATTTTGGGCCTTCTTGGTTAGCCCAACAATGGGGACCTTGGCCCAGCATTGGGGATATAAATACCCTCTCACTTGAGAGGGTTAGATATTCATTCATTCATCCATACTCTCACACTTACTTGCACTTACTCTGAACCTTACTTTGGCATCAGAGTGTCTTGCAGGTACCCCCCCCATTTCACATTCAACCACTGCTCGATTTGAAGCTCATGGGCATTAATAATCTTTCTGATCAAGTACGATAAGTGACGCGGTTTGTAGGAATCCAGCTTCCCCGACTTCCACTCGAGACCAACGCAACTCTTTATCAACCTTTTGATTATCATGGCCAACCAAGCTGTCAACGATAACCAAAATGTCCACTTCGTTTATACTAACAACAACGATGTTGGTGATAACAATGCAGGCAACAGTAACGACGTGGTCGGTTCCGAGCAAGACCAGAGAGACGGACTGACCGCCTCTTCATCCACCCGCTTGAAACCACGTGACAACAACTACCATCCTCTGCAGAATTATGAACCCAATATATATCAGGAGATCCTTGTTCCTGCAGGTGCTGACGCCACGACCAAATCCTTGTTTGGAGCAATCAACTAGACAAATTACATGATCTTTTCATAGGTTGAGCGACTGATGATGCTCAAACAAACTCGTCGGGCCCCCAAAAAGCATAGAAGACCTGATTCTCGAACTTCTCCTCCCCGATGGAATGAGGACCTCCCCTAATCTCCCCCGCAGAGACACGGACAGGAAGCTTCTCGAATTCCCCCCCCCCCCCCCCCCCCACCGAACTAAGTGAGGCCCTGCATTGGAGAGGAGCTAACTCAAAGTTGTTAGGAAGTGCAGTCACACCCCCCGCGCATGGAGCGATGATCCCCTGAACATAAAAGAAATAGGGGAGTGAAGAAAAGTAGTCTCGGCCAAGGGACCCTCCCTATGGCCAAGCCCGACACAACGATCGTCGCTACAACTGGTCCCCCTCTCGCTCTCCAAAAAGAAGCGACGAAGACGACCCCTGTGGTCCACTATCCCAAGCCATCATGGAGGCTCTCATTCCTAAAGGAATAGAGAAGCCCCCTACTGAAGGAGTACAACAGAATTACTGATCATGTTGACCATATCGACAGGTTTGAAGTGATGCTCCACTACCATAACGTCGGTGGCCCAATTAAATGCAGGTTGTTCCCCATGATGCTGAGGAAAACAAACATGGATTAGTATAAGAACCACTCCCCTGGGTCGATCACCTCATGGAGGAGCCTCAAAAACCAGTTCATCAACAACTTCATTGTCTCTCGGCAACATCCGAAGACTGAGGCCGCCCTCGAGGAAATCATCCAGAGAAGCGACGAGACCCTCAGGGAGTACATTGATCGGTTCAACTACGAGGCTATTCAAGTCTCATGCATAAACCACATGAAAAGATATATGCTCGAGAGAGGACTCCTCCCGGGCACTGAATTTAGAAAGGTTGTCGGCATTGAACCCCCCAGATCTTTCAACGCTCTCCTCAAAAAATCCCGTACATACATGGACTACGAGGAAAAAGAGGCAGCCAATAAAGCCTGTGATTCGAGGAATCGCGGACCAACTAACATCCCACAGCACCATGATGCGGGCCCTTCTCGACGGTCTGGGGAGGAGATAAGGGAGGAGAAACCTTGTGAGGCCCGCGATCACAGAGGACCAGTCGGACGGCTTCTCGGGAGCGTATCCTTGTGGAGTGCTCCAAAACCGAGTTCAAGAACGGCGGTGTCAGGCGTCCTTAACACGCTCCTGCAATGCCTAGGGCCGACATGACAAAATATTATCAATACCACCAGAGCCAGGTTCATTTGACCGAAGACTGTGTCTACCTGAAGGATGTCATCGAGACTCTCATCAAGGCAGGGAGACTCGGGCAATACAGGCGAAACGACGCCCCTCGTCGAGATACCCGCGAGGTTAAAGAAATCGAGGAGGATAGTCGACCATGCAATGAATCAAGTCCCCTCTAGGTATCCTTCTTCGTCTCAAGGCCCCGGGACTTCCACATCCCCGACAACTTCGAAGATGAAGAATCTTTGTTCACCCACACTAGATGAGAGAAGTTCCCCTCTACCATGGTCATATCTGGCGGGGGATTCAATGACATATCAGTAAATTTAGCAAAGATGAAACTCAACGAGCTGGTAGACGCAGCCCTGACCCAGGTAGTAACCCTTGAAAGGTTCAAGGGAAAATCTGAGTCGATTACCTTCTACCTCAAGGAGCTTCCCATCGGAGCCCCAAACTATAGTATTCCTCTGCTGGTGAGTGAAAGGATGGCCAACTTTGATGTACATCGCATCCTGGTCGACGAGGGGAGTTTCGTCGATGTTATGTACACCCACTTGTTCCGCACCCTATAGCTCGACGATACCCACCTATCACCATACGTGGGATCTGACCTACAAGGATTTAACAGTTAGACCTCTAAGCCATGGGGCTACGTTGAGCTCTTTGTCTTATTCGGGGAAGAAACTGCATCCCGATAGGTTAAAGTATGGTTTCTAGTGATCGATTACCTGTTTCTCTATAATTTCATCTTGGGGAGACTAACACTAGCCGAGCTAATTGTCGTACCCTCCACGGTGCATTTAAAGATGAAGTTCTACACTAAGAGGGCATGCGTAGCCACCATCCATGGAGACATTTCAGCCGCCATGAGATGTTTCAACGCTGCTTCCAAAGGGAAAAACATGGTCAAAATTGGGACACGACCTACTAAAAGGGAAACCACTTTGGCAACAACGGATATCTCTGCTGTGATACGTTGGCAGAACCGACTGTTAATACTGGTTTTGCATTTTGTGTTTTTTGTTTGCAAAATGTCGCGGTAAGCAAGAGTCACCATCGACTTTTATTTCATCCAATCATGGAAAAAGAAAAAGAACAGAAAAAACCTTTTTTCGAGATATTCTGAGTACGGGGGGTAGATTATAGAAAGGGAATGTGTTAGC